CAGCAAGTCTTGATCCGCAGGCAAGAGCTAGTTCTCTGGCTCTTGGACGGTCTCAGCTGTGAAGTTGCTGGTTCGTTGGATTCTCTATGACCGCTCTGACAGCATGTCTAGCAAGTCATTTTGAGAATGTCTCCTGGTCGTGAGCCTCAAGTTTTTATACTATTTTGTGGCTACATTATTTTTTTTCTTTTTAGATTAACACACATGTCTGCTTATCATATAGTTACGTCACACTTGTTCACCAGGTCAAACTCTTATCACCACTGCACACATTGCTTCATGCTTTTTAGTTTCATTTTGTGTGTGACACCTAATATTGCGTCTTAACATTTCTGGGCTTATTTTTATAAACTCATATCATTTCATTTAATATTGTCTCCTAATACTCCTGGACTTATTTGTCCTTACAGACTCGTAACAAAGCTCCACTACAGAAATATATCTCCATCGAGAGGCACATAATGACATAAAAATAAAAATAGTTGTGTGTCAGTTGCCATGAGAATCTTAACACATCTCATTAATTTTAGCAAACAGTAAGCAGGGCATTCGAATCATCCTCTTTCTTACACACAGGTACCTATGCTGAGTATCAGTGCATTTACGTAGCATCCACAGTGACACAGTGAGTGATAGAACTAGGGCTTGGAATTCCGTTAGCCTTACTCGTGTTTCTAACTGCCAGTCTTTACAGAATTAACTGATTAAGCAAAGATCAAAAAAATCAGGAAAATGCAGGAGGTGCCACCTAAAACCTATAGTATTTTAGTTACTCAGAGCCCCTGAAGTGGACTCTTGTTAGCAGTGAGGTCTAGAGAGCACTGACAAGACGTCATGTATGGAGGAGGAAGACATGCTATTTCATTTCATTTGCTGGAATCCAGAGGCGAGACTCTTCAGGCAAAGCTCCCTTGACAGGATTCCAGTTCCATTAGTCCATTCATTAGCTACCATGACTTTGGTCAAGTTGTTTGGCTCTTCTAAGAACTTTTTTTAACTGATTTGTATAGCACAACCTTTTCAGGCATTTAGAGGGTCAGATGAAATAACATGTATAAAATATTTTTGATAGTTGATGGCAGTTGTCATCATAAAACACAAAGTACCTATTACTTATTGTTGGATTTGACAAATCTATGACCTTGAGTGATTTTCTGAAAAATGGAATAAAATGCAACTATCTTTAGTGATATGACTGAAAAAGAATGTAGGTAAGAAAAAAAATGTCAACAGTAATTTCAAGGTTTCTGTGTGAGAAACTAGCAAGATGTTAATATATAGGAAAAAAATGAGAAGAAGTCTTGGCCAATCAACTTTTCCTTGTGGGTTTAAAATTTAATTGTCCTTGGAAAATATCTGTGACAAAAGGTAGAAAAGATGGCATTGGACTATGAGAGTGATCCTGTTCACAGTACACGTAGGTCTTTGTTAATATGGGTGCTCTATTATCTCCTTATTTATCTGAGCCTTGCCCTGTTGCAAGGGTATGTAAATCTTTATTGTTTTACAATAAGATTTAAACTTATTCTTTCATAAAGGGAAAAGTATTCTGTGAAAA